CCCCACTCTTCAAAGAGGTCGCCTGTCTTCGGTACCACTTCAATGATCCCAACGGTAAGTTGTGTGTCTCCTTCCTAGAGAGCGACAGTGAGGACTGCTCCCCGTCAATTCCGTCTTCAATTCCGAACTCCTTGTATCTTCACTTAGTTGCCTCCGCTGCTTCGTTAGGGTGGTTTCGGCTTGCTGTCTTTGTTTGACACTCGTGGATGCGTGCGCTGTGTCCTATTGTTGAAGGTGTTAAGGGTGATTTACTCCATCTCCACCAGCCACACACCCCGATGAGATGCCTTGACCTTTGCCTGGTTGATGGGCTGATCCTCCACCCGTGCGAGTTGCCTCTTCATCCCCCAAATGTCGAATTCCCTCGAGTGCCCACAACAAATCCTCCATGTTTATGTCCGCCTGTAACATCGGAGGACCGTGAGAAAACGTGGGATTGTCACTCAGAGATATTCCTCGTAAGTCTCTTTGGACTGCGGTCGCTCTGTTCCTGGCCATGGGTCTTAGTGACCCTGAATAGGTCGGTTGTTTCGATGTACTCCTAGTTGAGTTGAGAGCTTTCGAGGACGCACTTGATGATTTTCCTGATCGCTCCACTTGGCTGTTGACTGCTACTGGACTCTGACACTATGGTTGGCGGTGGTGTGGGCACTCTCGCTCGCCTTTGTCTCGTACATTGGTCCGCAAGTGATAGTATCGCCGACAACTGCTGCACCAAGGCGTTTGGGTACTGGCCACCTTCAACTCGATGATTTGACTTGGAACGTTGTGAAAGTAGGGTTTCCTTGAGCTTTGGAAGCGCCTCGATCGCCATGTCGATTCTTACATTGATTAACCGGGGAGTTCTCACGTCACGCTCCGATGGGTGTACCTTGATGACTTGACCAATTGAAAGTTCCGCTGCTGATTCCAGGTAGCAGAGGGCATTGATTGGGACGTCCAACATTCTGATCCAGATGTATGCTTGGGCGGTCTCCCTTCGAGATTCCTGAATTTCCTTCTTTGTCAACCATAGCCTGAAGGCAATACTATTCCATCTCCCTCGTAGAGCCACGCGAGTTTTTCTTTCCTGAAGCATCCATTCTGCCATGACACCCTGGTGTCGTTTGCAATGTAAGAAATAATATTACTCGATTCAATGTAAGCATCCATTCCGTCATGGCCTGAAGGTAATACTATGCCATCTCCCTCGTGACACCCTGGTGTTGTTCGCAATGTAAAAAAAAACATTACTCGATTCAATGCAGACCCGGCCTCTGGTTATCGAAGGATCGAATTGCTCCTCGCCCATCCAGATGTCTTCGCAAACATGTATAACCTCTTCCTTTAGCTTTTTCGGCAAATTCTTGGAACCTTCTTGAAAGATAATGGTTATGGTGCGTTCCTTCAACCACTTTACTTTGATCTCATCCGGCAATGGATTAAGAGTAAACTGAATGTTGGTGCCTTCCTCCTTCAACTCTCCAGTATCCCACCTGGTCAGAAGGATGCTGATATCGAAACATTTGGCAAGCATGTCCCTCACTCGCTCTTCCTCCGCCAGTAGTTAGTATGGGTTTGGGGGGGCGAGCGGTTTTGGTTATCGGCCGCATCCTTTCCTCCTGCTTGAGGTTTTGGCGAGGTTGCTAAACCATCCACTCCGATTATCCCCACGTCTAGAGGGGCACCTCCATTTTCCCTACTCAAGACTTCGTCAACTTCCATGTTGTTCGGTTGATGCAACTCCACCTCCCTCTACGGGGCACCTTCCAATTTGCTTACAGGCAAGGCTGCTATCTAGAGATTATGGTTGTGGACGGTGTAAGCCATCTTGGTATGTTAGAATTAAACTGATCTTGATGATGGTTGACATGGGCTAGCTTACCGACGCGTTTGGTCAGACATAGCTAGACCTTCACGCGTTGCACGAACCTTCGTGTCAACAAAAGTGGTTGACCGAAGGCGGCTAGGCGGTCCGAAAACCGACAGCGGCGGAACCGAACGCTAATGCGCCGTGAACCGGCGCACCCCGACGAATAGATTGGCGCTTCCTTCTGGATTTTCAGTATGTCAATTTCAAAACTTAATTTCAAGGATTTTGGTGCGGCGTCCTAATGACAAAATCTTCAAAAAAAAAGGGGTAAGGGTGTAGTTGCACTACTCGCCATTCCTGGCGGATGGGTGGAGAGTGAAAAAAATGAGAATAGTGTCAGACTGGAGGCCCGGTTGCACTTACTGCCTGATCTCGACTCGTAAAACCGTGCGCTCTCCAGAAAGTCGTTTTGTGGAGAGGTCCGAGGACCACCGTCCACAACCTCCGTGCAGAGGCGGGGAAATCGAAAATACTCACCACAGCTTTTATCGAGGGTGTGGCGAGCAGTCTGACATATTTTTAATTCGCCAAGTTTGGCGACTAAGTGCAACCAGGCGCCTACTCGCCAAACTTGGCGTATGGAAAGTAGTGCAACTAGGCCCTACCTAGGCGCAATCACGATTTAATTTTAAATCTACTTGACGCATCCCTCGAATACAATGCACCTCCACGGGACCCTAGTTTCATAATTTTTCGCATTTTGGCACAATATTCACGAAATCGTGCTTGAAGTACATTTCCAAACTAAACCTGTGATTGCGCCCTAGTTATTCCAAAAAAGTTAAAACGTTTCAAGAACATACCCTCGACCCTCGAGTTTGAAGGACAACAAAGCCATATATTGTTCAGATGTTGAAAGGACCTTGCACACTAAAGCCTTTGGACTGGCGAAATCCGAGTCATGCCCCTAATTCAATATGTGGTGGAGCACAATTGGCTTAAACATAAACTTTTTTTTTTTTTTTTTAATGGCACTTGCTATCTAACAACGATTTTTTCTTTTTTTTTAATTGGTGGATAGAGCTGCAGTCTACGATACGGAACCAGCTGGTTCCAAGCTATTGTCTTACGTGGCTTTGAATAAGGAAGCTCGGATAGTTAGAAGATAGGATTAACACATAAGTCGAGGCAAAAAGCTAAACGTATTTTAAATACATTGATCGTCATGATTACATAAATGAAGACACCACATAGAGTAGTCAACTTCTAGTGATGTTTTGTTTTAGACTAGTTTCCTTACTATTTATGGAGGTAATTAGAAAGCTAGTTAGGGACCGTTGAGTTGTTAGTAGCTAGATTTGAGATTGGTGCGGTTTTGTCACCCTTTTTTTTTTTTTCCGATATGTTGCGTTTTTTTTTGGTTTGTGGCTTTCCTTTTTTTCCAAGGTTGGGAAATGTTAGGGCAGCGGTCCAGTTTGACCGTTGTGCACCTAAACCACAATTCCAACACCTGCAGCTAAGTTGGGTAATGCTCCCAATACTTCGTCTTCCGGGTTGTTTGTGGAGGGATTTCTGGCCTCCCCCTTTTGTGTGAAATATAATGTTATTTCCATTAGAAAACAAGTGAACTTACCGCGACGAAGCCTCGCCCCGGCGCCGGCCTTATCTCAAGCATGACCATTATCTGGCCCGGACGACATTGAGGGTGATTGTTTTAGAATATGAGGGATGCGCAACTTCGGGGGGGGCATCGGCCACTACATCAGCATGTCGCCGGATCCTTTGTAAATCAGAACTATTTTTAGTGGTGGCCGCTAGATTCGAACTCACAACTCCAATTCAACAGTTTTATGTCTGCATCGACTGCGCAGCCTGCCAAAGTGCAAAATGAGAAGGAATCTTCCACGTGAACTTAGGACGATACGCTACGACAAACAAAAATATTGAAAAGGAATCCTAGTGTGAGTATGAACTAAGAAGCTATCAAATGCAAATGTCATCAAGCGCATGCGCGCACGCGCGCGCGCGCGCGAGAGAGAGAGAGAGAGAGTCTGAATGGCAAAAAATGGAATACAAGTCATATTGTAGGCGTGATCTGTTTCGTGGTTGAAATGATTTTCTAAATATTATTTAATATTTTCCTGGAATGATCACTATAAAATCTACGAGCACTCAAATCTTCAAATTTTTTCAGGTATTCTTCTAAGTGTGAAAAATCACTGAAGTTTGAGGCTTTTTCTCATTGGCCCACACATGGTTAGGTAGAAAAATGAAAACTATGTTGCATCAACGCGGCGATTATTTTATAGTCTTAAAACTCTTAATGATTTTTGAAAGTTTCTTGTAATTTTTCCTCTGAAGACCATGACCTAATCTATGGACTGCTAAATTTTCATATTTTTTTGCTCATTCCTCCGAACATACAATCCTTCTGTTTTTTAGTGTTGCACGTTTGTTTTTTTCAAGTTACCATGGCTGGGAAGGGTTGTACTAATCCCGCGTCTGACGGGAATCTGGTGCCTTTCCTTCACCAGCTGAATCAGTTCAATGGGGGTTATCGGAGATTGCTATTGTAGGACCCGGTATTGTTTTTAAGTTTGCTTGGGTATATGATTGAATCGATGTAGGACAATCACGTATGAAATTAGGTATACGATTGAATCGATGTAGGACAATCGCGTATAACACTACTTAAAGCCAGAGAGGATAGTCGTGATTTGTGTTCGTGGGGGAATGACTGGACTAGAGACGAGGACTAAAATAGACCACTTGCTACAGGTGACGGGACTAAAGGCATGGAAAGTGACGAGAGCCTAATGGCATAAAAATATGGCAAACATTGAGTTTCATCCGTTTCGTTTTCCTGCTATCACAGGGGAGGTGCGATATGTGAGTCGATGTGAATGATGGTTCTTGGGTGTTGTGGAACGTTGTGGTGGATCGCGTTACATTCGAGTGAGAGATACGCTCTTGATAGTTTTCTACCAAGTATGTTTTATGCGTATATGAGTGATGCTGTTCTACTTGCTTATCTGCAACAAAGATCCGTAACCTGTTGGGAAGTTATACCTAGAGAGGGTGGCGTAACACGAAGGAAGAAAAAAAAAACAAAGGATCGAGGACGTAAGAAGAGGGAGGTTTTCAGGTGGTGAGGCATCAATATGCGAAGATGGCGAGCGAAGGTGCGGCATGAGGGGCTAGAGGGAGTAGCAGGTCAGGCTGAGGACCACAGCGCGATACGAACCCACAACCAAGAAAATCCTTTTATAAGTGTGGAGAACTCGACCACTTTCCCAACATGTGCGTAGAGTACTGGCAGACCAAGGCGCGTGACATTTCTTTTGTTCCGCCTCCACCTCCTGGCCAATGATCGATAAATGGGAGGACAATGGCGATCGGAAACCTAGGGATAGAGTCACTCCGTGGAAATACAATTCCTCAGACGGAGAACAAAGAGACCTATGCAATGATGCGCGAATACTTTGCGGCAATGGCTTGTGAGCGGAGGGTGAGATTGGAGAGGGAAGCACGGAAAGTGGAGCTGAGGAGGGAGGAGGAGGCGAGAACTGAGCGAGAACATCGGCGTAAGCAGATGCTACTCGAGAGGAGGCAGTATGAAAAAGACTGTGATGAACGATTGTTGAGAAGGATCCGTGACAAATTTAGAGGAAACGAAGATAGCGAGGGAGAACGGAAGAATGTAAAGTCGAGAAAAAACACGATTAGCCGTAATGAATACGGAGAGACGAAGGAAAAGGAGAAAAAACGGTTGTTACGGATGATTGCTAGTCTGGAACGAGTAGGCGAGGAGGAGGAGGATGGCGAGGAGTTAGTAGAGCTAAGAAGAAGGGCGGCAACTTTGAGGCTCGCCATGGAGAAGAGGAAACACCTAGTAGTTGAATCACCCATGGGGAACATCCCTCTGATGGTGACTCCAACCAAAGGGCAACGGACTAGTCTGTCGAAAGAAGCAAAGACGAGAATCGAGAAGATCCGATAAGTCGATCCAGGCAAGCAGCTGGGTCCTCATTAGTGAATAAAAATATTATAGCCTCACTGGAACCAACGGGTAAGCTCGGGGTTTCTCTTAAGCATATCGCAGAAGAGGTGAGACTAGGGGCGAGAAAGAAGTACGGGACTGAGGTTCGAGATTTGTTCGAGGCACTCACGATAGATGAACTACTAAAGGAGTGCAGGGCGGAGAAGATTGGTTATGGGAATCGAGAACTGGCCATAAAACGCTTGGTAGGGAGAAGGGTCATCAAAGCTTACGATCCAGTGAACGTTCCTTTGCAGGTGAACCCGGGGACATCGAAGCAACTAGGCTAAAGGAATACGACGCTGAAAAAATAAGAGAAGTTTGCGATAGATGACTCACCGACGAATGAGTCCAACGAAGAAGACGTGTGAAGGGGAGTATCGATAAACTGTGGCGGGAGGCCGCAAAAGTAGTTGACCGTAGTGGGGAGCATGGTAGTCGAAATAAGTTACTGGTCATCGTTTCCGGATTTTGACGATTGCCTTTGCGTTACGGGGTGAGTTGGATTGGTTGAAGAAATTTGTTCCATATTGGGCGGATGAAAATGAGAAATGAAACCTGGAACTACGGACACTGAGTAGATGTGTAAAGGTGCTAGTGTCTCCGTGGTAAACAGGTATATATAGGAATCACAGAGAGATAGTTGTGGGCACGATGGAGGGAATATGTGGGTTGCTGTCTAGTTGGTGGATGCAAACGAAGGCGGAATTTGTACAACTGGCTGACAAAGATTAGGTGGCAGTAGTACGTGGCGATACCAATCTATTTCGGCCAGGTACGAGAGGAGCTGGAAGTGGTCGAGTCCTCGATGATTCGAACATGGTCGCCAACACTGAATACGGAAGGAAAGAAAAAGAACACGTGAAGAAGAAAACGACGAGGAAAGAAAGAGAGGAACAAACGGAAGAAGGAGAAGACAGTGAAGGGCGTCAACACAAAGTTTACGGGACAAATTCTGAAGGTCGGAAGGGAGGATGGCAGTGAGGGAACTATTTTTCATTCCTTAGAGGCTTACTTAAAGAAGGGAGGAAGTTGATCACGATAAGGACTGAAGAAGGGGAAGTTTGGGCGGGCGGATGAAAGTCACTAAAACGGCTTTTTGGAGAAATGAGGGTAGAAGTAGGATGCAAAACACGACGGCTAAGTAAGTGCAAGAAACTCTTTGTACAGGAAGGGAGGAGCACACTTCGTGGGATCGTGGAAGCAACCCAGACAAACCTGAGGCTGAAGGAAGAGATCATCATAATGTTCAAGAATAAGCTAAGAAATTCGGGTTGGCCAGAAAGGGGCTGGGTGAGCTTATACGGTACTACGACGCTGCAAAATTGTTTTCACCTAAGAAGGACGGAACGAGGGCGAGGCGCATGATTTTGGTTGCAATCAAGAGGAAGTTCGGAATGAACGTAAGAAGAAGGCTGGTCGTGAAAATAAAGTTTGAAATAATCAAGAAAGGGGAGGTAACGAGACTAGTGAGAAGGAAAGTGGGGGGACCTCCAGCTCGACGGACCTATGAAGGAGATAATACGTAGACGCACCCAAGTTGTTTGGACCAAGTGTTCGAACGTCGGGGAGATGGTTTACAATCATCCCCGTTATGGGGATGATGGCGTCACCAGGTGCACTTAGACCCTTTCCGAAAGTGGATGGGTACGTGCATTTCCGGCTTAGTCAGTGGAGTGGTTGCCCCACACTGGCAAGGAATGCGAAGAATGTACCTGCGGAAGACAAGCGGAACATTAGTGAGAGACTAAAGAACGAAATATCAGTGGTTTTGAATGAAGTGGATTGACTCGGTGAACGGGTCGGAGTGGTGCGGGTGCGAGACGAGGAAGTGGTGGCCTGCATTGAGGAATTGAGATCTGTTAATGGCACTGAAGAAAACAAATCTTGAGACTAAAATAGGAACTGAAGGGTCTTGTCCTGTGCCCATTAGATCGCAACCTTGGTGAGACACTTGTATTGTGTCCAATCGTATACGCAAAATGAATGTTGACTGCGTTTATTGGGAATGAGAGCTATGAGAGATGTGGGAAGTTTGAGTCGGAAGTACCGAAGGAGTCACGAGCTGCATATGGAGAAGGGATGGGAGATTGGAAAAATGGTGGGAAATTGAGGGGGGCTTATGCCCTTCCTAAACACAAGGATACTGAAAAGTATCGGCCCATCTGCACAACCATCTGTGAAGCAAGCACGACCACGTACAAGATGATGGCTAGATGTTTGAACACGACACTTTTTGGGCTGCCAGGGAATGAGCATTTTAACGTGACGGTTGTGTCGGATATAAAAGGGAGGTTGACGAAACCGAATTCTGGCTTCGATTTTGTACAAATCATTGTTGTGGCCTTTGAGTACGAAGCCCACAAAGGACATACAAAGACAAATTGCAGCCTTCCTTTGGAGAGGGGATCATGAATTACCACATGTAGTTCGAAGAGTTGCTTGGAAGACTTTAATCCAGCCAAGGACCAAAGGAGGGATTGGACTAATTGACCCAAAAACGCAGCGTCAGGCTTTGACTCTTCAAGTGGTCAAACGTTTAATTCTAACTACAGATATACCATGGCGGGATCTAGCACTGGAACAGATTCGCAGATTGGCGCCTCAAACCACAGAGGTAGTCCCCTGACATGGGTAGAGGATAGATATTGGTCTATTCCTCGTACCCGAATACATCACACTAACACAAGGGCGAGAGGTGAGGCCAAGAGAGATCTTAGACTGGACGACTTTTGGGCTAACCTATTGAAAACCTGGCGGGAGATGCCCTTACCGGATAAGGCCATACCTGAAAGATTCGAGGAAGTCTTACGGAAATCTTTTTTTGGTAACAGATGGATTACCGACCATAATGGTAGAGTTGTTATAAGCTCGGAATCTCCTTGGTCAAATTGGGTTAAGAATGACGTAGTAAGAATTAAGGATCTGTGGGACCCGGTGCATAAAACTTGAAAGACTGCAGAAGAACTTAGAAAATGGATTAAGTATGCACACAATCTAATGAATAGTTTGGAAGAAATCACTCCATCTATTCTTTTGGCTTTGACAACGTTGCTTAAAAAAAACCCGGTGTTTCGAACAGCAGACTGGGTGTGTATGAATCGTCAGGATGGAGCCAAGTCAATAGGACAAATCATGGATGTACACGAAGAAGGTGCCTTGGTTCATATTTTTAAGATCCAAAAAGACAATACAATTTCAAACAAGGATTTACACACGATCATCTTCTCAAACTTTGACGAAATGTTCAGGATAAGAGTCATATACGGTACGGAATAAAAAAGGTGGATTTTTTTTACCTCAGTGTCCCATACCGGAGTTTCCCTTAGGCCCGACTGATTGGGTATGGCGGCTGAACAAGAGAAGCAAACCCCTAAGACTACAATCCTTGAGCGTAAAGGCGTCATATAGGCTACTTCACCAAAAAATGGAGGTTTAAGAAATGTTACAGGATCGATGGTATAGAGGATTTGATCAAACCAGTGAAGTGGTGCAAAGGCATCAGAGAGAGGCCAACCAAGTTTGCATCCCTACAGTGGCAAATAATACACAGATGCCTACCCACTAATGATTGGTTTATAGACCACTCTTCTCTTGAACAAAAGGGTAAGGCAGTACCATGGTGCAAAACAAAAGGGTAAAGCAGTACTATGGTGCAGAACAAAAGGGTAAGGCAGTACCATGTGTTCAAGCCTTTCCAAGTAGGAAGATTAGAGAAACAATTGAGCATATCTTTCTACAATGCCCAGACTCTGTATTGCTTTGAAGATTATGGGATTATGTATGGAGAAGACTGATAGGCTTAGACTGGCCATGGGAGTGGCGGGCTATTCTCCTTGGACACTGGATTCCCGCATTGATTGARTTGTCTGATTTTCAACAAAATTTATTCCATTTAAGTAGGAAAGCGGTGTTATGGGCGTTGTGGCATAAGAGATGTATAAGCGTCATTGAAGGAATTATAGTTGGAAAACAAGAGGTGGTAGACATAATTCAACAATTTGTTCAATCTGAAATAAGATTTCAATGGGAAAAAACGAAAGTCAAAATTACTTAATATAAACAAAAAAAAGATATCGCACAGAGAATCTCGAAATTCAATTTGGAATGGTTAGGGGATGCATCAGGGGAGAAACTGGGGAGGGTGGTTTGGCCAGGAGGGGAAGGGGAGCAAGTGACCTTTGAAGCGAGACTACCAAATCACCTTCTATAATTGGTTTGATATCCCACCAGGAGCTTCTTTGAGATCACCTGAGTTTTTCTTTGACCCTTTTCCTCCCTCTGCACTGACTCTAGTGGATCTAGGATGGTTTGGGGGGGAAGAGGGAGGATAGGTGGTTTTATTAGATAGGTGGGAGTTTATGATGGAGATAGATGCTAGGATAATCACTCTGTTCTGGCGGTCATTTTGTATGACTGAAGAGGCATCTGGATTTCTACGACTAGATCAGCTCCTTACTTTGATATGGGATTTTTGTATTGATACTATGTTGATACTATGTTCATTCAAAGTTATATGTAAGGGGCGCTGGACCCGTTTTCCAGCAGGTGCTGCTCCCCACCAATAGATCGGAGCTTTAAAAAAAAAAAAAAGAAAAAAAAAAAGGGTGCGGTCATGGTTTGAGTTTCTAAATGCATTTCAAATTGCCGTTTTGCAGTCCAGTCCGGTCCGAAGTTTACTACGCAGTTGAAACTTTGCTTTGCAAAAAAGTCGCATCACGGAGTTTGTAACTGCAATTCAGTCAGGCACGTGGCGTCCCCCCCCCCTCCTCTTCTTTCCCCGGGAGTGACCAAGGCATGTCGTAGCGTGGCTAGGCCACGGCCGAGATGCCTCGGCCACACGCCCGAGATTTAAAAATAATAGTTAAAAAAAAAAAACGGCCGTTTTTTTTTTTTTTTTTTTCCAGGCATGGCCGACGCATCTTGTCGCGTGGCTGGGCCATGACCGAGATTAGAAGGGGAGGTGAGGAAACACCGTGCCTGATTGAACTGCAGGACACAAACTCCGCGGTGGGA